TTTAGGAGATAAGGCTGATAGATCTTATTTTCATATATTAATTGATGGTAGAATAACTTATTAAATAGTATGATACTTTTTACTTTTTTGACTTTAGTAATAATAATAATCACATTTAAAAAAAAATTGAAAAGAAAGAAATTTACCTAAAAAGGAAAGCCAAGCCCACATGTGAAAAGAAGAGTAAATTTAGGAAAACATATAAATATGATATATGACAAACTTTCTCATAATGGTTTCTCCTTTATAATATATATATATGTAGATTAGAAAAATTCTCCTAAAATAACGGTCCTTAAACTTAATCTAAATTTATAACACCTTTTCAAAAAGGCGAAATCAATGGTGGTTTTGGGGTGTGGTTATGGCCACTAATGGAATTGTTAAAGCCACTAAAATATTTATGTAAAAAAATATTGATTCTATTTAATTTAATTGTTAAAAACAATTAATAACTAATAAAACAATTGGTATTTATTACTTAATAAGTTTAAAATTAGTTTATAAATTGATATTTTTAGACATTATAACTATTTGTTGAAGAAAAATTATAAATATTAATAAAATTAAATACAAATTTTGTGACCTTAACAATTCTATTAGTGGTCATAACCACACTTGTGGTGCTGCTGTTCTGATATTGTGTGAGGAGACCAATGAAAATGGGTAGTACATGGTGGATACCATGCAAGTGAGATTATAGGATGAACAAGCAGATGCAAGCACATAATATAAAAATGAAAAATAAAAGGAGCCTCCATACACTTGGTATATAGGTCCTGTGTTGTGCAGTAGTTATAGTTCCCTACTGGTGAAACAACAGGTTCCAGTGTGGCAGCTACAACAACTACCCCATAATCTCTAATAACCAAGTCGTTCAGAATATGAAGGTAGACCATATTTGTTAGATGAATAAACATCTTTTACCCTCGGATTATTAATTATTTCAAAATGCTAGTTGTCTTAAAATTGTAAACATGACTTAACTCTCTGACTGGTTCTTATGTTCCATACAGGCCACAGTTGGTCACATTTTCTCTACTGGCGAACAGACAAGTGAAAAATTTAACGGTTATGTGCATGGATACCTTGCAGGTAAGATTATAAGACGGTTATGGCTATTTTTGGCAAATTAGTGGGCTGAATTGATATTAATGTGAGATCTTATTGATGTTGGTCACTAATATTATAGGTGTAGAGCTATTGACAAGGGCAAAGCATTACCAGAAGGAAAAAAGAGAGGAGAAGGAAAGAATGAGCGAGAATCAAATTTTCCTGCTAGAACCTTTCTTAGCATTCACAGGAACATTAAATTTGACAGAGACAGAGGCAGTCTCCAATCCCCATAAATGCGATATTCCCATACAATTATATTTGAGTACTAGCAATTTTGGCATTTTCAGAAGCACTCTTATGACTCTCTGGATCTCCATTTAACAGCATTCTTTATGATATGAAAAACGAGACAGATGACTTTGTGACTGAAGAATGAGACTGATAGCCAAGGCAAGGGGGTTCCGGTCCACAATTGGACATGTAGAACCCGTTACCACCATGTGCTGGGGATAATTAACAAATGCTATTCAAGAAAAATGAAACAGATGCATGAGAGGCCAAACTGCCAAAGTGTGTAGATGTATTCCTCTTCATAATGCAGTCACTAATCAATGGAGGTTGCTTGGTTGTTGGACTTTAGTGAAGTGGTTCAGCATTTCTGCAAATTGTGTATTTTTTTTTTTTTGTTTTTATTGCAAAGAACTGAAATGATAAAGAAAAGATGATATGGCAGATTTCAACTGGATTCTGCAGCATCTGATGTCATATATTACTAAATAATATGAACATGCATGTTCCATATAGAAACAAATGCTTTAGAAATAATAAGGGAATCTCCCTTTGGGTTTGTCTGATAATAATGTCAATTTTATTGGTACAGCCACATGATTTTTATTGAAAAACTAATAAAAACTGAATGAAGTGGAGAAAAAAAGGAAGTTGATAACAGTGAAGTCAATAGTTGAGATTCAGAAGCTAATGAAACCCTTCTCCTTCAAGCTCTCAACAGTGTCCTTGAGACTCACCTCCAAAGGAATGAAGTTGACACCCAAGCTCTTAATTTTCTCTTTGGATACTTGGTACAGTTTCTTAATAGGCTTATCCTCAAATCTGTGAAAACAAAAAATCAATCAGATTATAAAAACATAAAATGATATCCGATGCAGTTAGTGTGAAAAAGAAATTGAAATTCAACTTACTTTTCATCAAGGTGGAACTCAGGGAAAAGTTGATGCAAGATCTTCCACAACTTAGAAACGTCTATGGTGCTTTCAACTATGCAGTATCTGCCAGCAGCTGAAGGAATCTCAAATGCTTGAATGTGAGCATATGCAACATCTCGAACATCCACAAATCTATTAAGTGGTGGGAGTTCCCGACCTGCATAGTGCATACAAAACACATTTCAGCACAGACTAGACCATATTATAGACATAACAATTGCTACTATTCCCCAATATAACTGCAATTATATATATGTACGGGTAATTACCAGTGACAATGTTCAATATGAGCTCAACAGTGAAATTAAGAGTTGGCTGTAGAATAGGACCGATCACCACTCCTGGATTTATTGTTACCAAATCAATCCCATTATCTTTTGCAAACTTCCAAGCAGCATCCTCAGCTAATGTCTTTGAAAGCATATACCAAAGCTGATAATAATACACATATACTACT